GAGGTTTTTGATCACGTTCACCAGTTGCTGATGAATGATCTATTTCTGGAGAACTACTTTATGATATTTGGAAAGCACAAAGACAGAGTAATTATTGAGATACCTGTTGATGACAAACCAGAACAAACAAGCTAATTCTTCTTATACAATGATACTGTACTGTAATTATAATACATAAGCAGTTATATATAATAATTACATTAGAGTTATAACATGATCGGAGAATCCGAGAAGGCCAAGCTTTGATACAACCCTTAACCCTAAACCCGGAACCAAATTCTACAAGGACCCCCTTGCCCAGTTTGAGCTATGTCACTTGGATAGGGTTGTTGGAGTATTCCTAAGATAGTGTTATATTAGGATGGTGGGGTGGGTGGTGCCATATACCCAAACTGGGCAAGACCTTCCCTAACTAATATACGGGCCATACTACACTCTTATTTTTTCATAAGGACACCCCCCCCAAACAAAAAAACAAAAAAACTATTCTAATTATTAAGGCCCCTACATTACCCCCCCATCCCCATACCCCTATCCCCCTCCTATAAGGGTCCTTATGGGCTTCGCGCGCGAGAGGCTTCATAGTCGTTTGCTTCGGCTTCAGCTTGGGGGCTTCGGTGGTTTTGACGAGGATCCCCCAGCAACCTAGAAGGGGTTTAGTGTTTAGGGCTTAGTGTTCAAGGGTTTAAGGGTTTAGGGTTTAGGGATTAGGGTTTTGGGTTTAAGGGTTTAGGAAAAAAAGGGGCTCCCCTTTTTTGGTATAGGATAGCTTCTGAGGAAGCCAAGACCACTAACAAGAAACAAGAGCCCCACTACGAGGACCTTCTTGATTTTGGGGATAGAGTACTAGTTGATATAGAGGCCTGAATAGCTTTAATGGGGTTTGGGGGTGTAGTATACTATAAAAACAATAAGGAACCCCCAAAATAATGTAGGTAACTATTAAGGCCCCTATATTGCGGTTCTGATGCATCGACGGCTCTGGCGTTTTAGGGCTTGGGGCTTCGGGTCTTCCAGGCTTTGGGCTTCGTCGTTGGGTCTACCCTTAGGGTTTAGGGCAGCCATCAACACCTGGACTCTTGATGTAATGTAGGGGGCCTTCATAATGAACTATGCTTTCTTTTTTTGGGCGGGGTCCTTATTACAAAAGTATAGTATACTGTACCCCAGAGCCCTGTTCTAACTATTAAGGCCCCTATATTGGGGTAAACCTGCCCGATACCCTACACCCTCTGAAATTCAAAGCCAGAACCTCGGCAAAGCCCAAGCCAAAGTTGGATGAGCATTCGGGCATGAAACCCCACTTCGGCAGTTTAAAGAACAAAGCAGACGGCCCGCAATAGACTAAAAGCTATACTCGCTGCAACCGAACAATGCCCTGAGGCTTCGATTGTTGAACACCCTATGGCTGGTGTATAGGGGTCTTGAGAGGTTCGACAAGTAAGGGCCAGGTATGGGTTTGGATTCGGTTTCTGTACATGTGGAGTCTGAGTTTGGGGTGTGGGTGTTAGGGATTTTAGGGCTTAGGACCCGGAGCCGCGATAATAGATGCAGCTCGAGCCTCGCGCTGAGAGACTGCAGCTCCTTTCGCCAGGTGATACAAGAGGTACAGTAAGAGTATATAGTAGAGTTCGAGAACAAGAACCCTAAAGAATACTGCTGATAGTTATTCAGGCTCAAAGTTGCAGGAGTATGCAATAGTATGCTGGAGTATGCCCTAAACCCTAAACCCTAGTCATCGTGGGCTGATGACACCCTTAACCCTGAACCAAACCATGCTCGGCTTCGGTAGGCCCATACGGTTTAGGATTTAAGGTTTGTAGGGTCCCTATAAATCCCATATTAGGGTTTATATTAAGAACCTACAAAAAAGTGGGTTTTGGGATCTTAAGGTAGGGTTTAGATGTATGTTTCCAGGTTTCGGGCAGCCTCAGCCTTTCACCTCTAGGCCCTGAACCCTAGGCCCACGTCACCTCCAGGCCCTAAACCCTAAAACCCTAAACCTTGCTCAAGGTTGGCTGCTGGAAGTCCGATCCTCGTCGGAGAGAACGAGGTCCAGTACTTTTAAGTTGTCCTTGATCCGGTGCCTTGAGACGGTATATTCCCTTCATATGGGAGCCTTAATAGTTACCAATAGTATTTGGGGGTTCCTTATTACTATAATTATAGCATAATCGGCCCACCGTGAGACTAGGGTTAAGGGCCTGGGGTGTAGGGCAGTTTAGGGTTCAGGCGTTTGGGGGTCTGGGTTTGGGCACGGCTCTTCTCAGGGGTTTGGAGTCTAGGGGATATAGGGCTTTAAGGCTTAATGTTCCTTCGAGTCCGATGCCAGTCAGCGAGCAGTCGAGCCAGCTTTGGAGTACCGATTTCTAGGCCAGTCCGGCCTCACGAACGGTCGGCCTAAACAATAAACTTAGCTTTCAAGATGAGAACGCTTTTCCCAAACGTGCAAGAGCTTCATGTTCTACGCCTCTTAATATTCATAGGCCTTGAGGTTTACCTTGACCTACTGTACCATAGCCGACGTTCTTGCAGGGTCCTGATGTACGCCCCAACACAGAAGACGAGGCTCTGGCAAAGCAGAAGGTTCTGAGTTGAAGTTTACGAGCGTAAGATGCAGACCCGCAGTCCAGAGGAAAACACAACAACAGACTGAACTTTTGAACTCCGAACCCGACCGCCCCCTCCGGCCCCCCAAGACCAAAAAGCAGAGGCTGCTTTGTTAAACAAAGAGAATCTGAAACCTGAGCCCTCACATCAAAAAGCGTTCCCAAACCCCTGAAGCCTCAATACCCTAAACCCTAAACCCTAATCCCTAAACCCTAAGCCCTAAACCCTAAACCGTAAACTGCCGCTGCTTCACGCTCTTGGGAATGATCTGAAAGCCCATCTGCAGCCCCCAGCGTAAGAGCACGTGCGCCGCCGAGAAGCCTGGGTGAGCACCTGCGGTTTAGGGGTTTAGGGTTT